TTCTTTATTTAATATAAAAAAATTATAAAGATTGGTTAAAATTTGAATGATTTTTATTAGAAGCAATTATTAATTTTATATTGGTGTACCAATCTTTTTGCATCGGCCCATATTATTTTACTATTATATTCTATTATTTAGATGTTTGTTATGCTATTTTCTATTTATTTTCTTTGAATATTAATTAATTCAAAACTTTTATAATCATTATTATAATTATTATTATAATATTAAAAAATTCTCATTTCATTATCTGTTACTTCGATCAGTTGCATCTGGTCATTTGCACTGATCCATATTTGGTTGGCGGATATCATGAATGCTCCTGAATATTGCTGTTTCTGAAATGTTCGTTCCATTCTTAGTTATACAAAGACAACCCCGTTATACCGAAGTGGTCGGTGCTATTAGTAAAAAATTAAAAAATTCGGTTTATCCGAGGTTTCATTAGTAAATTCGGTTAACGGGGTAGATTTACTATAACTGATCCTGGAGCCATCTTCGGTTGTAATTAGTGCTTCGGTTAAACGGGGTTCGTTATAACGAGTTGCCTTTGTATTTCTAATTTTTGAAATTAATCGACAAGAATCGTGTTTTACCAATTATCAAGAAAATGTTGACTGTTTTTATATCACAGACGAATTTATAAGGATGAGCTGTCTAGCGGAGATAAAGAGAATCTTAAAGTGTCGGTTTGTAGTAAAATTACATTTGTAATTAATCTCATTAATTTCTTTAATCCATTCATTACTATTTTTTCTCTGATGGTGCAAATTAGATTTCGATATTAGTATACCACAAAACAAAAAGACACTATTAGAAAGCTTTAGAAATTTGTTAAAAGTGCTTTTATTGTTTTAAAATTTTATGAACAAAAAATCATGTCCGATTTGATTGTTTTTCTTTTCGAATTTCTTCCCAATGAATCAGAGATGACTGATTATTGTTATCCAAAATATAATTTCATTAATTTTTAATGCAAATTAAAAATTTATATAAATTTATAATATGCTAACCTTTTGAGTGTAAATTCACGGGGTCACTTCCCATTTGGCGCACTTTCTCGTGGGTAATATAGGATCTGACAAAGTAACGGTAAGTTATGATAGCCAAATTACTGTTATATCAATTGAACAACATTTTATTTGTCTTTAAAATATTAGCATCATATATATAAAACGATAATAGTATTCATCTAACGCTGATACTATTCTTTTTCCTACATTAACTATATATTAAATTTAAAATTTACGTAAAAAATAGTTTTTGCAAATAATAATATTAACTAGTTCAATATCTCATATCTTCATTATCGATTTACTCGTTTTTACTTTCCAAATCAGCAATATGCAACCTTTCAACAAATATTATCCGTCTGATTGGGATCCCAGTAAGGTGAATTTTCATTCTCTATACTTATATTCCACTATTAAACTAAACCAAATATATAATGCATTGCTTTTACAATTTAGGGATCGGTAAACAAATTTGTTGGAAAACACCCTCTTGGTGACCGAGCACGAAAGATCGACCAAGGGATACTAATAGTCAGGTTAGACTATTTCTTCAATCGCTCTAAGGATGCCTATTTTTATGGACTTTTTTCATGAGTTGACATTACGCGGCGTATCAAATAAAATTAAATCAGATTCGAATTACCTTATAATATCTGGTGTAATGGATGTGGAAAACACGTCGGAAAAGGCAATTAAATTCTCTCTCCCTTTAATCAATGTTTCTACGTTTATTGAGCACGTTAAGAGCTAGAGGAATTACTTTTTTTCTGTATCTGAACAGGTGTTAGATATAATGCCGAAAAGAAGAAGGTCGGAAACTATTATAGTACACCGATATGGAGCTTTCGTATGAAATGTCATCTATGTGATAATTGGATCGAAATTCAAACCGATCCAAAGGTAGATATCTATCTGTTGATGTTTTTTAACCCACAGAATCAAAAATAAATTCGTTAATACTTTGATAATTATGATAGAATGCACAATATGTTGTTGTAAATGGCGCTCGTCAGAAAGTAGAAACCTGGGAGCCTGAGGATACTGAAACTATACGATTGAAAGGTATTAACTTAGTTTTTTTGTTTTAAATTATTGGTGTCTTATTGTGTGATTAACTATAACTTTTATTTTTAGACGAGGAAGAAAAGCGGAGATTAGCTGAAGATGCTCTTTTTAAACTTGAGCATACGGTTAAAGATGAACGAAAAGCTGCAGAGAGTGCTACCGTATTGGAAAGGTTACAGGTAACTATCAAATAATCGAAAAGATGATGGGATTTACTTAAAAGTCGTGAGAGAGAGAGAATCAGATTAACTTATTCTCATTTTTAAATTAATTAGATGTTAAGTGACAAGCAATGGGCAGATCCTTATTCACATTCACAAAAGATGCGCAAAAAATTTAGAGTAAATTGTACTCCATTTTTCACTTGTCAGTTTTCCTATTATTAAATGACAAAAAGATTGACTCCCTTTCCATAGGAAGAGAAAAAGACACACCATCTCCAAAAATTAAAGGATGATGAAATATTGGCACGAAATGGACTTTCGATCCCATTATTACCTGAATCCCCTGAAGATGACTTTATGGCAAAAACGACAGATTTTTCGGATAAAATTCTGGAACAGGCGAAAAAGCGTAAATTAGAGGTTTCCGCGTCGTCTATATTCAAAAGACACAGCTCGTCCAAGTTGAAAAAGGTTTCTTCGTCCTCCACTTCACGACATCAACAACTTGATAAGATTAACAATGATAAAGTTGCTCAGTTATCAGCCATCGTCAAAATCAACACAAAATTAAAGACGGATCCTTTTTTAAAAGATTGGAGCAACGGAGATGGAAATGGCATGGCCACTATTAAAGACAAAAGTGGCGACAGTTTCGACGGTGGCTTAAACGTTAAGAGTCAAATTGTGGCTATCAAGAAAAAAGATATACGACAGTCCAGTGATAATAACGACACCGACAATCACCACCACAGTAATGAGAATAGTACCAACAATAACAAGAGAGAATATGAAGATGACAAAAAGTCACCAATTAAAGGTAATTTTTTTATTTTTATTTTTTTTCATTTGTAATAAAATAAATGAATTCATTCCAATTGAATTTTTTACAGTGTTATCACTTGTGAGCTCGGAATATGACGAAGATGATTAAATGATCAGTCAGATTATTAACTAAGCCATTGTTATCTGCACTGTTCTCTTTCAAAGCCAACACATGTGATTGACCCATTATGCTTGCAACATTAACTAGAAAAGTACGAGTCAAATTACACGATTGCCCCGCAAAAACTTGACATCAACATAGCGAAAGATGCTCTGATATTTTATTGTATCGTTGTATATATAATTAATGAAACGCTTGTACATTTAATTATTAAATGTTATTTAATTGATCTAAGATTCTATTGGAGGGCCAAGGTGGAAAAGAGGTTTTCCTGCTTTATGACTATAAAATACAATCAAATTATGCGTGAGAGAGGTAACATCAACAGTCAGTCAACGAAGTGAAAAAAAAATTGAACTTACAATTGCCATATGGCGGCTATGTAGTTCATCCATTTACCAAAAAAAAAAATAAATAAATAAATAAATTTTAATACAAGAATGTAATTTAAATGATGAATAATAAACAAATTTACCGATAAAAGGAATTTCGAACCCAAGACTCAAAAAAAGCACCATATTTATTGCGAGCCTTAGCTTACTGTCAGTTCTGAAGGGAAGATGCTGTTGATTTGTGTTTTATTAAAGCAGTTTCCAAATACAGATTCAGTTTTTGTCAAACAGCAAGCACTTTTTTTTTGTGACAGAAAACACGAAAATTTGGTACTTTACCGAGCCATTCACATTTTCGAAATGATATGAACCCGAATGACGAACAACTAATCTGTTGCTGTTATTACCGATTCTTTTTAAGGCCTGTGCTCGAAAAGAAGTGATAGCAGTGGAATTTAAAATAGAGGTTGAGCCTAGACGCGAGTATTTGTAGAGTGCCGCTGGATTCATTTTTTAATGATGTTTGAAACTTATCGATTGTAGGTTTAACTTATTTCGGAGTGGATTATTATCACGTGAGGTTGTTAATTGATTATCTAGGAAAAATAAAATTTATAATTTATAAACATACAAAAATGGCTAAGGAATCAAAAGAGAAAAAAGAAAAGAAGGAAAAAAAACCGAAAAAGGAAAAAAAAGAGAAGAAGGTGAAAAAGGAGAAGAAGGTGAATGATGACATGGAAATTGACGAAAAAGCACCCGAGAAAGAACAAAAAGAAGTGACAAAGAAGGAGGAAAGAGAAGACGAAATGATGATAGAAAAAGAGTCAGACCGAAGCATACGTGAAGGGTTATCAAAAGTTTCCATTGATATGAAGAAAGATAAAGACCAGGAAATAAGGTTTTCGTATAATTTAGATGCATTGTCCCCTATTGCAAAGCCGTTGGCCTCTGAACATTTGACGAAAAAATTGTTAAAAACCGTTCAAAAAGGTATGATGAAATTTGTTATCTATTTCATGGATTAATCGCGTTAAAATTGAAGAATTTAATCAATTGAATAGCTGGAAAAAGAAAACATCTTACGCGAGGAGTCAAAGAAGTTGTAAAAGGTTTACGAAAAGGAAAGAAAGGGTAATAGATAGAAACTTGTTACAGTTCGCTTCCTTTGATTTTATTAATTGGTAATTAGAAATAAAAATATATCTATTTAGACTTGTAATAATAGCGGGTGACATCTCTCCAATTGACGTAATAACACATCTTCCAGTACTATGTGAAGAAAAATCTGTACCATATGTTTATGTCCCGTCGAGACTCGATCTTGGATACAACGCAGCCACGAAACGCCCAACTAGTGTTGTGATGGTGATACCGGGTGGTCCGAAAGGAAATCTCGAAGGAGTTGAAGATTATAAAACGCTGTATGATTCATGTTTTCAAGAAGCGCAAAAAATGGTGAGTATCTATTTTCGTGCGATTTATTCTTGAGAATTTGACCCTCATTATTGTTTCCTATGCAGGATCAAGAAATAATGATATATTAGGTATAGCTTCTTGTATTTATTTTCACAAAGAACTATCAGCATGCATTGAACAATGCATGACTACGCTGATAAAAAGAAAACTTATCAGAGAATTGAGCATTTTTTAAATTCCTTGCTTAAGATGTCATATATCTGTGGAAGGTTACCGTTTGTTCATGATTGATGAACGTATCAGCAACTATAAAATTGATATAAAGAATCAGAAAAGAGATTAATGAAAATTTTGTTTCGATATTCTATATGCAATATAACTTATTGAAATATTTAATAATGAAATCATCATAATTTCAGAGACAAGCAATAATGAAAACTTTACACGTGACTAATTTATTTCTATGTGTACAGTTGATTCCCTTTATAATAACGACTAATTAAACTCTCGCTATATTAAATTTGAGTTTAAAACTATATAAAAAAGCCTCGCTCTATCAAGTTTACTAAAAAAATTCATGATATCGTAAATTTCTGAATATTTTTTCCCTAATTGAACGGTGATCCAATTTATTGTCATACATTTGACTAAAATTTACAGAATGGAGTCTTCTAGCGATGCGGTGGATGCGGCAGTGGCGCGTATGGCAGAGTTATTGCGTTCACCTGACGACCTAGTGAAAATAAGTCTCTTACGTAAAAGGCTCGCAAAAGAAAAGGCCACCATTGATGCCCAGTTGAAGACTGGCGTCAAAGCACAGCTTGATAATACTCAGGAAGGACTCGAAACTTTGACATCCTCGAGAAAACAAATGTTAACCATTAAAGAAAATATGTGTAGCATTGATCGATTATGTTCTAGCGCGCAAGATATGATTGATCATTTTCCGTGGATTAATAAAATTTCGCAAATTCATCGTAATTTCGTGGCAACTGAGGAAACAATCGATCGTCTACAGGAAATGTATCAACGAATTGATCAAATTCAAGATATGTTGGATCATGATAAGCAAACCATTTTAGGACCGGCCGAGAATCTTTTGTTTATTCATTATCAACTATTTCGATTGGAAGAGTTCCGAGAGAGTTCAATGTATCAAGCAAAAAGTTGTTCTCATGATGTTATTGAAACATTAAAGAATTATTTTGAGAGATTAGACGAATTTTCAGCTGAGTTTAATGAATATCTATGGATATTAACCAAAAATATAATTAGTTTGGCGGAAACCGGACGAGGATCTGTTATAGTGCGTCTTATTAAAGTAATCGAATCGGAAGAGCGAGCGGATGAACGTGCTAAATTAGCTGAACAAGCACTCCATAGTCATCAAGATTTGGCAGACAAGTTTAAATCAGTACAGAAAAGTCCACGCGTTATCAAATCTTTTCGCACAAAATTCCAGAATAAGATTCACGAATCGATTTCTGATACATTTGAGAGGTTTTATGACGATTTCAAAGATGATCCAATCTCAATGTTTGATAATGCTGATTTCATTTATAAGGATTTGCTTTTGGTCATTAAGGAGATAGTACCAAGATTTCCAAAGAAATATAACATATTTTCTATATATGTGTTAGAATATCATAGACATGTATATAACATTTTAGACAAAATTACGAAATCGGATCCGGACGCTGGAACAATTTTACGAATAATTCGCTGGGTACGAGAATATTACAAGACAATGAAAAAAGATATTCGGATTACCGAGGAACTATTGGAACCCCCGTTATTGAATGGAGAAGAACAAGGATTGATTGACGACTATCTGAAATTAATTCGTCGTAAATTAGAAGAATGGATGAATAATTTAATGGATGGTGAAACGAAAGATTTCACTGAACGGAGTAAACCGCCAGAGATGGATGGTGATAAATTATACGGGCTTTCAGGAGCGGTCATTATGTTTCAGATGGTTAATCAACAAATCGATGTGGCCGCAGAATCCGGTCAAGCGAAAATTCTCGCTGATGTCGTGAAAGAGTGCAGTGAAGTGATGATTGCGACACAACAACAGTGGATGCAATTATTAAAAGCTGAATTCAAACGTCAAATTGATAAAAAAGAAGAAGCACCAGGTGGTTTCGTGGAATATGTTATCGCATTGGCGAATGATCAGATTCGTTGTGCTAATTTTACAGATGATGTCGTCACAAGACTTGAACCTTTATTATCAGAGAAATATCGAAATCAGATCAATGATAATCTTAACGAGGCAGCGAATGGATTTTTGGCTGTTGCAAGAGCTTGTACTCAAACATTATTGGATCAAGTATTCCATGATCTTAAACAACCATTCGGTCAACTTTACACCTCATATTGGTATCAAGAAGACCCAATGGCACTCATCATTGAAACAATAAAAGATTATACACGCGACTTCCAGAACAACCTCCAAAATTATCTTCTTGACAAATTAATGACCGACACCTTATCTCGTTTCATGATTGCATGGATTGAAGCATTACGTAATAAAGGCGCGAAATTCAAAATGCCAGAGTGTCTTGATCGAATCACTAACGATGTGCGAACTGCTTTCGGATTCTTTCGCGATCATATCTCTCAACAAGATCTTGAGAATACCTTTGACGTCTATGAAAGGATCCATTCTTTACTTGCTAGTTCACGAAAAACCATTTTCCTCGAATATTACAATATGAAAAAAGCATATGGGGATGTACCGGTCTCCCTGATTGAGGATATATTGTCGAAACGTGATGATTTGGAAAAATCGCAGTTCAAAGAAATTATAGAGAATATCAAAACAAAACAAAAGGAAGCACCGGAGTACACTGGTGAACCAACTATTTTTAGCAAAATTTCTTCTTAACTGATTTATTTATTTTTTTATTTCTTTACATTCTTATATCTTTTAATAATGATATTAATGATAATTCATAGGGCACATGGAATTTGTAATTTTTCTAGAAATTGTGATGTTATTAGATATAGATCTAAATATAATTTATTTTTATTATTATCAGAAAATAATAAATGATTCATCAAAAACATAGTTGTATCTGTATTATATTTTTTCATTAATCTTTTTATAATCATTCAATATTGCTTTTTCAAGAGTAATAATTATAAAAAAATTTGTTTATATTTTAAATATCATTCAATAATATGAATTAGTGCAAAAAGATTTGTATTTCAATATAAAAATTAATAATTGCTTTTAATAAAAATCATTTAAATTTTAATTAATCTTTATAATTTTTTTATATTAAATAAAAAATTATCTAAATTAACTTTTTATATTATTTTAATTATTTATTATACTTTTAATTTAATAATAATTAAAGTATTACTTTACTAAAAAACTAAAATAAAATTATTTTTTTTTAAAAAAAAGATATTTTAAATATTATTATAATTAATTTACAATATTAAAACTAAAGATATCATCTCAATTAATTGTGATTTGTAATAGCTAATTAGAGAGTTATGATCAATTGTGATAGTTAATCAAAGAATTGCAATCAAGTTATAATATCATCTTTAATTAAAACTTTAAATTATGCAAGCAGATTATTTTAGATTTAATAAATATATATTCTAAATTTTATAAAAATTAAATTAGTAATTATAAAAATATTAAGATTCAAAGTCAAGTAATTAAATTATTTATTATATAATTTTTATATTAATTTTAATCAAATTTTATATAGTAAAATTTAAAAAATAATAATTAAAAAAAGTTAATATTTTTTTTATAAAAGATATATAATAAAAATTTTTATATTTAAATAAATTTCAATATTTAATAACTTAATTAAATAAGATAAAATTAAAATTTTATTTTAAAAAAATAATTTATTAATATTTATCTGAGATATAAATCTTTTTATACTAATTTATATAAAGAAATTTTTAAAATTTAATTTTCTTAATTATTCAATCTTAAGTAATATATTAATATAATAGAATTAACTATTAAAAATTAATTAATTTACTAATAATTTAAAAATAGATCAATTAATATTTCAAGAAAGAATTTACTTATATATGTAAATATTTTTTATAAAATATTAATAATAAAAATTATTTAATACATAATAATTATTAAAAATAATATAATGCTTAAATTTTTTATTAACTATAATTAGTAAAATATATATTTTTTTATATATAAAAGTTTTTAATTTTATTAACAAATATTTTTATTTTTAGCTTAAAAATTAATTAAAGTTTTTTAATTTAATATATATTTTTTCTAGATTTTTCAGATTTTTTTTTAATAGCTTATTCTAATTATATATAAAATTAATTAATTTTTATTAATTATTAATATTACAAACTATATTTGTAAAGATAGATTTTATCAGAAATATAGTTTATAATAAAGATAATATTATAACTTGATTATAATTTTCTAATTAATTATTATAATTAATCATAATTCTCTGATTAGCTATCACAAGTTGTAATTAATTAAGATAATATCTTTAGTTTATTATAAGTTTTGAGAATTAAAACTAAACTATTTATAAAAATAAAGAAATTATAATTATTCTAAAAATTTTCTAATATTAAAACTTATAAGTATTATATTAATATAAGATAAAAATAACTAACAAGAAATGTAATCATGAAATATTATAATCAATTATCTATTTATATGATATAGTAAAAGTAATATATAATATAGTGCAGTTGCAATATGTGATATAGTAGATGCTAATTATTATCAAATTAGATAAAAAAGAAATTTATATTATTAATTTAATTTATTTTTAATCTTATTTTTAATTCATCTTATTATCTATCTGTAATTTTATTTTTTTATTAATTTAATCATATATATTATACTTAATTTATAATTTTATTAAATTAATAATTTTCTAATTAGTTATTATTAATTTTTTTTTCTTTTCTTATTTTAGTTATAAATATCTTTAATATTTTACTAATTTTAATTCTTAATTATTTTATATATTAATTTAGAAATTATTTTTATAATAATTCTTTTGAAATTCTACTTATTCTTGAGTAAATTAAGTAAAATATTATGTTAAAAAAATTTATAATTAGTATAATAAGAAAATATTATATATAAAGAATCAAGAAATAATTATAAAGAATAATTAAGTTTGGTAGAAAGAATTAATTACTAAGTTAAGAGTAATTAATTAGTATTTTTCTTTAATAAACACATATATTTTATCACATATCTTATCTTTATTTTCTTCTTGCTTTATTAAGAGAGTATTTTATTAGAAGTAAAACTTATATATATTATCTTATTGAAAAGATAATTGATTATATAATCTTTTAAAAGTTATAAAAGTAAATAATTATCATGAATATAGTCATTCTTACTATTTTAAAATATTTATATATATATAAACTTAAAATAGTAATAGTTTTTTTTAATGTTTTCTTTATGAATAGCAAATTAAAATTTAAAATAAAATAAATAAATTTGATTTAAACTAAATCTTATAAAATTAATCAATATCAAAATAGAAAAATAATTTCAGAGATTAGTTAATATTCTAGATCTATCTTACTTAATCAAATTACAAGAAAAAGAATTATGTCAATTAGTTAATAATTTATTTATAGCAGATATGAAAAAAGAAAATATCTTGTCAGCAAAATATTTATAATTTTAATTTCAAAAGTACTTATTTCATATCTTTATTTAAATAGCTAATATTATTTATAACTTATATAAGAAGATTTAATTAATAAAAATTATATTATATTTGATAATCAAGAACTAAAATCTCAATTAATATTCTAATTAGAACTTCTATACCAGTTTCATTATTATCTACTTTAGTTTTAATATTTAATATTTTTTTATTAATTTATATAGAAGAAGTATAGCTCTAATTTAATCAAGAAATACAAGAAAAAAAGAATTAGAAAAAGAAGAAAAAATTCAAAATCATATTATTTTAGACTTATTATCACTTTAATCTTAAAGAAAATATGATAAATAATATTATATAATAACTAGTTTAAGTTTTAAATCTATTAATAACTACAATAATAGTTTAATAAAATAAATAAATTAAACTATTTATAATATCTCTTTCTGTTTATAATAAAGAAGTATATAAAGATCTTATTAATTAAATTGAAGAGTTTGAATGATCTATCAATACTAATAATATTACTAATATAAGAAAAATTAAGATTATATTTGCTTACTTAAGAGAAAATACAGTTACTTGATTTTAATAAAATAAACTAGTAAATAATAATTGGCTAATAAGCTAGAATATCAATAAAGAAAATAATTCATTTTATAATTTTTTTACTAATTAATTTAGAATAAATGCTCAAGTTTTAATCTGATAATAATAATTATAATTAAGAGTACAAGGAGTAAATGAGGATATAGTTTTATATATAAAAGATATTTATATATTGCTCAGAAAAATTGATCTTATATATGCATATTTAAATACTTATTATATAGAGCAATTTATAAAAGACTTGAAATCTGAGATTATTTTTTATGTTAATAGATCTAATTCTAATAATCTAAATATAGTAATTACTAAAGTAATTAATATTAAATCTAGTTATAAATAAATATATTAAAATTTCATGAATTTTATAATCTTTATATTATAAAATCTTGATATTCTATTTAGTATTCTAAATTCAGTAATAAATATAAATAAAACTATAATAAACTTAACTAAATAAGTAAAAAAACTATTTACTCAGAATAATTAAAGCTTTAGTAATTATTTTAATAATAATAAAACTTGCTATAATTATGAAAAAAATAGATATATCACTTGTGATTATAAGTTATCTAAAAAAATATTAATAATAATATATCTAATATAAAATACTTTAAGTACAATAAAATAGAATATTATACTAATAACTATATAGAAAAAAATGCAAATAAGATAACAGTCAATTTTAAAATCAATATTATTATCACAAGTTCAGATAATAATATTTTATTATAATAACTATAATAACTGATTAAAAGATAGTTTACTAATTCTTCATCTACTATTACTTCTATTAATAATAATAATAATATATATTTAAATTAAAGTTCATATCTAAGAAAGATTAAAATATAAGTTAGTTTCAAAAATCTTCAATCATATTTTTATAATAATTATTAAATAAGATAATAGAGAAAAATAAAATCTAAAAAAAAAATAAAAAAGTAGTAAATATAATTTATTATAAAAGAATGATAGAAAATTAATTTATAAGAATTATAATTAATAATAAATCAATTAGCAATATTATATCAGTCAGATTCCTAAAGTAAATTAATAAAAAGATTAATAGATTATTTAATATTAGTCTTATAGATATAAATAAAAAATTAGAGTAGTTACTAAAAGAAATAAAAAAATTAAAAATAAAAATTAGAAATTTAAATTAATAAATAGATACTCTGATAATAAAAAAAGCAGAATATAACTTATTACTTAATAATTAGTAGACAAAGCAATCAAAGATTATTTTAAATTGAGATAATAAACTTCTCAGTTTTGAAATAAAAGAAGAATTAATAGTTATTCTAGTTACTTGCATATAGTAAAAATTAATTATAAAATTAATTAATCTCAAGAAAAAACTTGAGAGCTCTGCTTTTAATAATAAAGATAGTGAATTTAAATATAAAGAAAAGGAATTAATTGATTAATTTTTATATATGATATATAAAAAGTAAAATAAATAATTTATAATGAAGATGAAAATCCAAAAAGACTTTATAAAAATCAATAATAAAATTATTAAATAAGAAAAAAAAGAAAGAATTTAATAAGAAAGATTAGAAGACTATAATACTTATATTCATGAGAAAGAAAAATATAAATATTTTTAATGTAAAAT